GGGATGAGCCCCGAGGCCGGCGGGCTGGTCCCGCGGAGGCGCAGCGCTGCCGCCGAGCAGCACGTCTTCAAGGCACCGGCGCCTCGGGCCTCCTTGTTGGGCCTGGATGTGCTGGCGGCCCAGAAGCGGCGGGAACGCGAGGAGGAGGCAGCCGGGGGAAAGCAGTCCCGGGTCTCCTCTTACAAGGACTGGGAAGAGGGCCGCGACGAGGCGGGCAGCGCCGAGGAGGAGGACGAGGAGGAGGAGGAAGAGGGGACCGGTCGGAGTGGCCGGAGCGCTCGCAAGGACAGGTGGGGTCTGCGGGGCGGGTCCTGGCACTCTACAGCCGCTGGGTCCCCGCCGGGGGAAGGAGCGCGGGGGGTGAGCGCTTTGTCAGGCAGGCTGCAACCCCATGTCGGGAGAGCTCTGCAGATCTCGGGGGAGGGCCCCGAGGTCGTCTTGCGACAGTTCTTTCGCTAGTGCCGCCCGGACGTTTTACGGGTGGGAGTGCTTTCTTCTGCTGTTGGGCCTGCAAACACCAGCCCCGAGACTGTTGCTTCCTGATGCCTGGAGGCAGTGGCCTGCTCAGGAGCAAAGGGTCCAAGCGCGTCAGCGGACCCGGCGGGCTGTTAGCAAGGGACCCAGAGAGCACTAACCATAAGCTTCTGCTGTAGCAGAGGTTACAACTAGAGTTGTGTGAGACAAGTCAAAGGCGAGATGTTCCTCAGCGCTTTTGAGCTTTCCTTCTCTCTGCTCTGCCTTTCCAGGCATTACCGTTCCGTCCATGTGGAAACACCTTCCTACACAGGGGGTGTCAGCGAGGAGTTTTGGGAACGCAACCGGCAGCGGGAAAGGGAGCGTCGGGAACATGGTGTCTTTGCCTCCTCCAAGGAAGAGAAGGAACGAAAGAAGGGTCGGAGCAGGGATCGGGACCACGATCGTAAACGGGACCGTGGTAACTGCTCAGAGACCTTTGTGACTCTTCCTGCTTAGAGTTTGGGCTTGTCCCTCAGCCTGCCTGTAGTCCTCAGCTAATGTTCGTGGTGTTTTCTGCAGCAGACTTGTAAAGCCCGTTTGTGCACTGGGCACCTGATCTTACTCTCTTTTTGCAGAAGAGCGGGACAGAAGTCGTCACAGCAGCAGATCAGAGAGAGATGGCTTATCAGAGCGAAGCAGCAGGAGGAGCGAACCAGAGAGTCCCAGACATCGGCCTAAAGGTAGGAGTGGAAACTGGTGGAGTTCTTGTGTGAGACCTGACAGGAAGGGACTTGTTTGTTATTATTTTTTTGTTTGTTTCTTGCTGGTTTCGTCAGGACAAGTATGGGTAGAAAAGTCTGTATCTTTTAATGTTTGTGATTAGAGCAAGCATAAAACTCCTAGCTTGACCTGGGTCTGTGAGCAATCTGCCAGCTGTGTGTGTGTGTGTGTGTGTGAAAATCTGACTGATCTCTGTGCAGTGGGGTCTGTTCTGGGTCTGTGTGATAGAAAAATGTGATCCTTTGGTAATTTTCCTTGGAATTTCTGGTTGAGGCCCTCCTCTTAGAGGGAGGACCAATAGTTATCCTCTCTCTGTGTTCCTTGCTAGAAGGTGTAAGGTGGGTCCAGGTGCCTGGGGCTGCTGTTTGAACATCAGGTGTCAAACCCCATCTCCTCTGCCAGATGCAGCCACACCGTCTCGCTCCAGCTGGGAGGAAGATGATAGTGGGTACAGCAGCACCCGTCGCTCACAGTGGGAATCTCCCTCCCCTGTGCCTTCCTGTCGAGACTCAGAGCGCAGCCACCGGGCGTCGTCGCTGCGGGACACAGACCGGAGAGACCGGGACAGGTATCGGTGCTCCCAGCTGTGGCTGTGAGCTGCTGAGCTGCAGGAAGGGGAGGGCCTGTTTAAGGGCAGCGCCTGGCTGCGGGCAGCAATTCCTCCCTGGTGCTGTTTTTGCAGGTCTGTGAGGAGCAGGTACTCGGATAAGACGCCCTTGCCCACCCCGTCATACAAATACAATGAGTGGGCTGATGACCGGAGGCACCTGGGGGCCACGCCACGGCTGTCCAGAGGGAGAGGTGAGGAGCCAGGGCTGGGCAGCGGCAGGATCCCCCTCCCCTGCTCACGGGGCCAGGCTCTGGGGTTTCTGATGGGGCTCACCCCTGCAGGGCGGCGTGTGGACGGGGAGGAGGGCATCGCCTTTGAGACAGAGGAGGAGCGGCAGCAGTGGGAGGACGACCAGCGGGTGAGGGCCCACAGCGGGCGAGTGGTGGGGTTGGGGGGTTGGCTGCTCCAGTGGCCGCACTGGAAGCCTGCCCGGCCCCGCCAGCGGGGCTCAGGGTTGTGCCTCTCCCCTCCCAGCAAGCGGATCGGGACTGGTACATGATGGATGAAGGCTACGATGAGTTTCACAACCCCTTGGCCTACTCCTCTGAGGAGTACGTGAAGAAGCGGGAGCAGCACTTGCACAAGCAGAGGCAGAAGCGCATCTCGGCACAGCGGCGGCAGATCAACGAGGTGGGGCGGGACATGGGGTCGGCTGCCCTGCACGGGTCCGTTCTGCTGCCCCTTGAGAGATCCGCCTGCTGCCAGCAAGGGCTGAGCCCTTGCTCTCAGCTGGAGCAGGACAGTCTGTGTCCTGGCCCAGACTGAACGAGGCTCACGCGGAAACTTGTTCAGTTCCTTTGGGAAGCACAGCCCCCGCCATCGGAGTGACTGCGCTGGGCCGCAGTGTCCAGAGCAACAGGAAGGCAGCGGGCTGGGCTCCTGCTGGTTTGGGGCTGAGTTACAGCACAAGGGTTGTCTGCTGGTGGCCCAGTGGACGCTGGAGACTGCTAGGATTATGCCCAGGTTTCCTGGCTTATTCTGGGTGTGGCAGGGGCCTTGCAGACAGTGTCTGTCCTGCCTGTCCTCGTAGACAGTCCTGCAGAGCACGTACTTCATACGGCCGCTCACTCTGTTTCCTGTACCCTGCTGCTCTCAGTTGCTCTTCCTCCCTCAGCTCTCACTGTCAGGCTCCCTTGTGGGAACCATCAGTCTCATCCTGTTGTGGGTGCAGGGCCCAGACCTGAGCTCAGAGTTCTGGTGTTATCTCTTGGGCTTTCTGGGCGGCTTCTGTGTATTTCCTGATATGTTGTTTCCTGCAGGATAATGAGCGCTGGGAGACGAATCGCATGCTGACCAGTGGTGTGGTTCATCGGATTGAAGTGGACGAAGATTTTGAGGAGGATAACTCTGCTAAAGTGCATCTGTTGGTGCACAACCTGGTGCCCCCTTTCCTGGATGGAAGGATTGTCTTCACCAAGCAGGTAGGAACCGTGGCTGCAGGCGCTGGCAGCAGGGAGCCCCGCAAGTGTGAGCTCTCTGTGCTGAAGAAATATCTCTTTCCTCTAGCCAGAGCCAGTCATCCCTGTCAAGGATGCCACCTCAGATTTGGCCATCATAGCCCGGAAAGGTAGCCAGCTGGTGCGCAAGCACAGGGAGCAGAAGGAGCGTAAGAGGGTATGCTGCAACCTGGCTGTGTGCATGTTGTGTGGTGCCTCGCAGGCTCTGGCTGGGCTTTGCAGAAGGCAGGCTGTGGTGCCAATGGCGATAAGGAGTTTGTATTTTTACGACCTGGGATATCCTGCCAGCCCAGCTCATTGCGTTGTCTCATAAGCAGCTGCTGTGATGTGTTTTCCTCAGGCACTGCCTAGGACGTGAATTACTGTGCACTTGTGCAGAGGATTCTGATCCAAAGGGCATTGGGATCACGGGAGAAGAGAGCGGGTGAAGAGTGCGGGGTGGCTCAGGGACAGTCAGCAGTCAGTGTGGTGGCAAGGTCTGTCCTGTCATGTCTCAGGAGAAGAATTGTGAGGAAGAATACACAGAAAGGTAGCATATTAGTTTTTGGGGGTGTTTTCTAGAGACTTTCTCTAAAGCTTATGTGATAGCTGTGGGGAAAGCACAGACTGTTCCTTGTAAATTGAAACTGAGCTGGATTGTAGCTGCACGTACATATGAGTGGAAGGGAGGTGGAAGCTGGCCTGATGTCAGAGGCAAGGGCAAACAGGAAGGTGGGAGAGAGACCTGTGAGCACCTGTCAGGCGCAGGAAGACTATCTCTGGTTCAGATTTGTGTTGGTTTAAATTCAAATTAAATGAAAGGGTCAGCAGCTGTAACCAGTTTCTTAGGAGGCAGTTGGTCACTCTGTGCCTGAAGTTTCCATATCCAGACCGGTGTCTGACAGCTCTGCTCCAGCTCACCTGGAAGAGGAGGGCTTGGTGTAGGAATGGGGGGGGGGTGTTCTGCACAGTGGCGCTGGGGAACTGTGGGGCTAACAGTCCCCCAGGTCTTAAGAGGAAGGATTTGTCAGTGCTTGCTGTGGCAAAGTTACGCTGTTCTTTGTCCTTCCAGGCTCAGCATAAGCACTGGGAGCTGGCGGGCACAAAACTGGGAGACATTATGGGGATCAAGAAAGAGGAGGAGAAGGATGAGATGGTGACAGAAGATGGCAAAGTGGATTACAGGTAGGAGCTTGGTTTGAATTGCTCCTGCTCAGCTGGTGATGGTGGCTGTAGGCGTTGCAAAGTGTGTGAGAGGCAGTTTTAAGACTTCTGGTGTTTCCTTAGGACTGAGCAGAAGTTTGCTGAACACATGAAAGAAAAAAGTGAAGCCAGCAGTGAGTTCGCCAAGAAGAAATCAATCCTGGAGCAGAGGCAGTATCTGCCCATCTTTGCTGTGCAGCAGGAGCTGCTCTCCATCCTCAGGTATGGCAGCTGGGGAGCAGGTCACGGAGCACTGGCCTACAGCTCAGGAGCCCAAGTGAGAAATTCTGGATACGTGGCGCGTTCAGAAGCTGCACCCTCGAGAAACGCAGCCTGTGGCTTGTGTGGTTGGTGGCGGCTCTCCTGCCCGGGCAGGCCGGCGCTTGGGCGGCCAGCCAGAGCTGTGAATGCAGAAGCCCTTTGTGGTGTGTGAGGAGAGACCCTTTTCCTTTCTTCAGAGACAACAGCATCGTGATTGTGGTGGGGGAGACGGGGAGCGGGAAGACGACCCAGCTGACGCAGTACCTGCACGAGGACGGCTACACGGACTACGGCATGATCGGCTGCACGCAGCCGCGCAGGGTGGCTGCCATGTCAGTCGCCAAGCGGGTCAGCGAGGAGATGGGGGTGCGCCTGGGCGAGGAGGTGAGTCTGGCAGCCTGGCGGGTGCAGCTGGGGGACAGGGAGGCCGGGGGGCTGTTGGAAGACTTGCTGGTATCTGCCCTCCCAGGTGGGCTACGCCATCCGCTTTGAGGACTGCACGTCCGAGAACACGGTGATCAAATACATGACAGATGGGATCCTGCTGCGGGAGTCGCTGCGAGAGGCTGACCTGGACAACTACAGCGCCATCATCATGGACGAGGCGCACGAGCGCTCGCTCAACACCGACGTGCTCTTTGGCCTGCTCCGGGAGGTGGGTGCGAGCCCACAAGGGCGGCAGCACGGGGCACGCGAGCTGGTCCTAAAGCAGAGCGCTGGCAGACACAGCCCTTCTCTCCCCACTCCGGGAGAGCTGCCACACCTCTGGCTGCCGGCCCCTGGTTCTGGGCTGTTAGATCTCCCCCAGAGCCCCAGTGCTGCCAGAGGCTGGCTGATGGCCAGAAACTCTCGGCACAGAGATCTTTATTGGCCTAAGACTTCCTGAATGGAGACCAGTGGGTCTTCTTAACTGCACAGCTCATACAGCGTCCATGTTCCCTGGCATCACTGGCCAGTGCCTCTAGAGTACAGTGGCAGCTCTGTGCTGGGCTGTTGTCTCAGGAGTAATAGAAGCAGCCTGCAGCATGCACAACTGCCCCTTCCTTATCGTTCCTTTCATCTGCTTTCTAGGTGGTGGCCCGACGCTCAGATCTGAAGCTTGTTGTCACCTCGGCCACCATGGATGCAGATAAATTTGCCTCCTTCTTTGGGAACGTTCCCATCTTCCACATTCCTGGGCGTACTTTCCCTGTTGATATTCTCTTCAGCAAGGTACAGTCAGCGTTGCAGAGGGAGGTTCTGTTGTGACAGGAGGGGGTTGTGACTGGGGTGTACTGTGCTCTGTGGTGGGCAGAAAGGACAGAGGAGGGGCAGCCATGCTGTGATGCAGGCTTGCACACAGGATGGGGCAGGTGAGGTTGTTGGTGTCTCTAACCCCAGTTGTGCCTTTCAGACTCCACAAGAGGATTATGTGGAGGCTGCAGTGAAACAGGCCCTGCAGGTCCATTTGTCTGGTGCTCCTGGAGACATCCTTGTCTTCATGCCTGGCCAGGAGGACATAGAGGTGAGCCGGGAGGGCAGGCGCTGTCCTACACCCCCATTGTTTTAATCTTAGGTTTACCCCCTTCATTGTGTCTAGGTGACCTCAGAGCAAATCGTGGAGCACCTTGAGGAGCTGGAGAAGGCACCTGCTCTGGCTGTACTGCCTATATATTCTCAGCTACCTTCAGACCTGCAGGCCAAGATCTTCCAGAAGGTGCTGATGTGTGCTCTGGGATGGCGTGGGGACAGGGGACACTAGTGCATGGGAGACTGCTGAGCATGGGCGAGCCATGCAGACGTGCCTTTGTACTGGATGTGGAGGAGGAGAGAAGCCCTGTGCTCCTCTCCTGGGTTCTGTTCCCGCTCTGCTCTTCCTCAGTGGTGCAGAGGCCCCTGCCCAGGCTCTGACTGACAGGCACTGTGCTTGCAGGCCCCGGACGGCATCAGGAAGTGCATCGTTGCCACCAACATTGCAGAGACCTCACTGACAGTGGATGGCATCATGTTTGTCATTGACTCTGGCTACTGCAAGTTGAAGGTGAACCTGGATTTCCTGTACTGCTTACGTCTGACACGGAGGCTGGGCTGAGGGAATTCTGTGGTAGTGACCCAGCCTTCTTCATACTTCAGTCTGTTCTCCTTGTGCCCTGCAGGTTTTCAACCCACGCATAGGCATGGATGCGCTGCAGATCTACCCCATCAGTCAAGCCAATGCCAACCAGAGGGCAGGCCGAGCTGGCCGAACGGGGCCAGGACACTGCTTCAGGTGGGCACATCCTGTCGTGCCTGCAGCTTGCCATTGGGTTATATCTTTTTTTTCTTGCTGGAGCTGTTTGTTATATTGAACTTCTGGGGAGATGAGTAGTATTATCTTGAAGTTCTGGTGGCCTGCAGTAGGCAGGCCTTGAGGCCTTCTCTTCTGGACCCAGGGCCTCCGCAGAGGAGAGGATATGCTCATGTTTCTTCCCTTGCCCATCGTCCCCTGTGGCAGCTCTGTCGGTGCTTTCAGTAACAGCCATGCCAAAGGCAGCTCTCACAAGGCTTTGCTTTGGGACTGGTCTGTGCCTGGGGAAGGGCCGTGCTTGAGGGGCTGTAAACTGTGCTGCAGCCTGGGCACCCACACGTTGCCAGGGTCGAGGTTTTTCGCCGTGTCCCGCTAGCCGGGCTGAGCACAGGGTGGCTGGTGCATGCTCTTGGCTTCTGCTCCCCAGGCTCTACACCCAGAGTGCCTACAAGAATGAGCTGCTGACAACCACGGTGCCCGAGATCCAGCGCACCAACCTCGCCAACGTCGTGCTTTTGCTGAAGTCCCTGGGTGTGCAGGACCTACTGCAGTTCCACTTCATGGATCCGCCCCCCGAGGACAACATGCTGAACTCCATGTACCAGCTGTGGATCCTGGGGGCCCTGGATAACACAGGTACTGGCTGCTGGGGCCAGCTGTCGGCCCTTGGGCCTGGCACCTGTCCCAGCTGCTCTATCCTGTGCTGTCCCTGCAGGTGGCCTGACCTCAACAGGACGTCTCATGGTAGAGTTCCCGCTGGATCCTGCGCTCTCCAAAATGCTCATTGTCTCCTGCGACATGGGCTGCAGCTCTGAGATCTTGCTCATTGTCTCCATGTTGTCTGTGCCTGCCATCTTTTATCGGCCTAAGGTACCTCCTTGCTCTTTCAGCAGCTCGGGGTCTTCCCCTGCCCTTTGACTAACCTGTGTCCTTTGCTCACCCTTCAGGGCCGAGAGGAGGAGAGTGACCAAGTGCGGGAGAAATTTGCTGTCCCAGAGAGCGATCACTTGACTTACTTGAATGTGTATCTGCAGTGGAAGAACAACAGCTATTCTACGCTGTGGTGCAACCAGCACTTCATCCACGCCAAGGCCATGCGGAAGGTGCGGCTGTGGCGAGGGGCGGGGCGGGGGGAAGCCGTGCGCCGGATGGGCCCTGACTGCCGCTCGCTTGGCAGGTGCGGGAGGTGCGTGCCCAGCTCAAGGACATTATGGTGCAGCAGCGGATGAGCCTGGCGTCCTGTGGGACCGACTGGGACATTGTTAGGAAGTGCATCTGTGCTGCCTATTTCCACCAGGCTGCAAAGCTGAAGGTGAGAGGTGTCTGCTAGCCCAGGGGCCGAGGCCCTGTCTGGGAGCAGCGGGCTGACCACGCTCCCCTCTGCAGGGTATCGGGGAGTACGTGAACATCCGCACTGGCATGCCCTGCCACCTGCACCCCACCAGCTCGCTGTTTGGCATGGGCTACACGCCAGACTACATCGTCTATCATGAGCTGGTCATGACCACCAAGGTGAGCTGGAGCTGTTGGCTGGCAGGAAGGGTGTGGGGTGCTCCAAGGGAGGTGGAGGGATACTGGGATCTCAGAAGGGCAGTGCTCAGCTATTCTCATCTATACCAGCCAGGCACGTCTGTGTCACCTGCAGAGTCCTGTTTGTCCCTTTCTCAATATTTTTCCTGGCCTCTGTGAGACACATTTGAACCCCTTTGAGGTCTCACCAAGTCCAGCCCATGGCAGCTTCCAAGGCCAGGAGGAATTGTCCGGCAGGGGTATGGTCCTAGTCTGAGTACCACTGTCAGCGTGGGGAGTGGGAAGGGAGCTGCCAGAGTTCTGGAAAGGGTGCCCGGCCCCAGTGCCTCTCTGCTATCCTGGTCCTTCCTTGTATCCCTGCAGGAATACATGCAGTGTGTCACTGCCGTGGATGGAGAGTGGCTGGCGGAGCTGGGCCCCATGTTCTACAGTATCAAACATGCCGGCAAGTCACGCCAGGTGAGTCTTCTGTGCAACATGAGCCCCGCTGCCCTACCTTTTTGTGTGTGTGTGTGTGTGGGGTATCTCAAACATATCAAG